ACACACACACACACACACACACACACACACACACACACACACACACAGTGGGAAAGGAGCATTCTGGAGCTGGAGAGTATATATAAACAAAGTCTTATAAAAGGACACAGCAAAAAGATAGCTATCTGAAGACAAGAAGAGAGGTCTCACCAGACAACAAATCTGCCAGCATCTTGACCTTGTGAGTCTCAGCCTCTAGAACTCTGAGAAATAAACTTGTTTAAGACATCCAGAATATGGCAATTTGTTATGGCAGCCTGGTATAGTTGGCTCCAAATGAAAAAGCCCTTTTAATCCCTGTATCTTCATCAGCACTTTCCTCTATGTGGAGTCAGGGGACATGACTGTGCTTCCCTTCTGATGAATCTTCTAGTCACTAATCCTGTAGGATCGGAATTCCATCCTTAGGAATCTTATGTGACCTTATTTATTTCTTTAGTGGCTCTAAATCCAAATATAAGGGGACTTAGGCCTTCAACAACATTTGATTAATACACATTATATAAGAGCCCCCAGTGCTGAGGTGTTCAATGTAATTTACTCCTCTTAGTCTTTCCCTAGACATTGTTTTTACGAGCTCATGAGGAGAAATTAATCCTGTAGCTAAACATGCTATGGCTAACTTTACAGCATAAAATTATTTGAATTATTAAACAGTATTCAAAGGAGAAATTTAGGATTTGTGTTACTATATTTTCTCAGAAATTTCCAAAAGTTTTTCAAAACAAAAATTAATAATGAATATGTAGTTTAGAACCATAATAATTTTATAAAAGTTACTAGTTTTTAAAATGTCTGAAATTATAAACATGGATAAGCTATAATCTAAAGTACTTTAAAACAAGAGCCTTGATGAAGTGAGCAGAGTTTATTTTTATATTTATTATCTATAGCCCATGCTGTCCTCAAACTTGCTATGTAGCAGAAGCTGGATTTAATCTGATATTAGTATCCAATAAGTATTAGGTATTATTTTCCTAACAGAAAACAAGTGAACATTTTATTCCTTTACTAAGAAGCAAGCAAAATTTTCATTACATTTTATTTTCATAGTTAACTTCAGTAATGATATTCTGAGATATAATAATGGAATTTGCTCAATATAATGGAAATCCAGTTTATAAAAGGAAGTCTTTTTTTAAAAAAACAGCTCTTAGATAATTATTTAAGTTTTAATATGAACATTAAACATTTTCTCTTAATATATATGTAATGAAGGGCTAGTGAGATAGTTCAGTCATTAAGAGTATATGCAGAGGACCTGAGTTCCCAGCACATCAGGTGAGGTGGTTCATCACTGAAGGAAACTCCAGCTCCAGAGAATCTGATTCTGCCTTCTACAGGCATTGTATTCATGTGTCCAAACCCACACTCAGATACTCACATATACATATAATTGTAAAATAAAAAAAATCTTAAAATATATATGTAATGAAATACTGACATCAGAAAGTTATTTGGGGGCGAAAGATGTACTAGTCTCACTTGAGTCACTGGTCCTTGGACCTCTTCACCGTGTGAAGAAGCCCAGACTACACATGAAGAGTGCTTGGCCTTCAGTCCCAGTTGAGCTCCCAACTGAATGCCTTTTATCAACCTGACAGCCAGCTTTAGGGCTAAGCCATCTCGAAGATAATCCTTCAGTCCCTGCTCAAGTTGCCACAGTTGATGCCACATAGAGTCAACCCTGCTTAGCCCTACACAAAGGGCAGAGTCATAAACAAAACCAGTATTTGCCAGTGTTTGAAGGTATTAAGGTTGGGGCTGGTTTAGTTCACATCAATGGACAACTGAGTTACTTCACATACTTAGAAGATGATGAAAATAGCATCTAGCTTCCTAGTCACTGCAGACACTTTTTTAGTAGGTTACCCACCCAACCTCTCTTTTAGAGAACTATTTTTTTAAAAAAGTCAAGATCTCAGTCTTATAATGTCCATTCACACACGGCAGTGTGAAACCCAGAAGGCTGACCCTGAACTCATAAGCACCTATCCTCCAGAGTTGCTAGGATTATAGGTGTGCTCCACCATGCCTGGTCAAGAGAACTAGTTCTTATTTTTATTACTTAGGAGTTTTAGCATGAATAACTGGAAATTTAAAACTACTTTTCTACACCACTCATCCTCATTTTTGCTTCAATATTTCCTGTTTTAACTCCAAAGGACCAGTAAGCTCTTGGAGGGCAAGAATAATAATTTTGGCTTTTCCATGGTGTTTGAATACATATACATGGAATAATTTACTTAGCTAATGAATGCAGCATACAAATAATAATGAGAAAAGCATTTCTTCCAAATTATTTATTTATTTATTTATTTATTTTAGTTTTGTAGAGACAGGGTTTCTCTGTAGTCTTGGAGCTTGCCCTGGAACTAGATCTTGTAGACCAGGCTGGCCTCAAACTTACAGAGATCCACCGGCCTCTACCTCCCAAGTGCTGGGATTAAAGGTGTGTGCCACTACCGCCCGGCTCTAAATAATTTAAACAAAGATCTTGCAATCCAAAAATATTTCTCGTCATGTCAATGCAGTAACTATGTAGTTACTTTTTCCCCCTTTTTCAAAGTCAGCAGCAATGGAAAATGAATTTCTTCCACTGTTGACTGCAGTATGTAAGTTGCCATGACACTACTTAGTCCCCAAACATTCTTTCTAATTGAGACAATTTCTCCTTGATTTAGTCCCTTAAGGCTGACCCAATTAACCAATGCAAAACCCCAAAACCCTGGGGTGCCTGTCAACTCTTATTATGCAACCTAACAAAATTTTAAATACTACTTTTCCAATGGTAAGGAAATTACAGGCAACTCATTTTTTAAAAAGTCTTACTGGCTGACTAATTGCTTGATCTAACTTTAAACCACATAGACTTAGACTTTATGACATTCTGAAAACCTAATGAATCTCAGTTTAATGCACATCCACATGGTGGGGGAGGGGGCACTTAGATGCTAATATCTGCTATGCTCTTTTTTTCAGTACTTAGACAAAGATCACAAGAAAAAGAAATCACAAAATACATACACATGAAAGATCCCAATTATCAGGGTGTGGTAACAAAAGCTTATAATTCCAGTACTCAATAGGCTAAGGTAAGTGAATTGTCAAAAGTTCAAGGTCAGCCTGGCTATAGAATGTGAAACAGGCTAGCTAGAGGTACATAACAAATCATTGTCTCTAACCAGAATTGGTAATGCATGCTTGCAATTCCAGCTATCAGGAGATAGAGGCAGGAGGATTAGTCAGTCATCAAAGGATATCAAAATTACATGAGACCTTGTCTCAAAATATAATAAAAAAGATCCTGTGGCAAAAATATAGTAACAGTACAACAAAACGAACAAAAGATCCCAACTAACCAGAACTTTGTCAGTAGAAGTTAGCTGTAAGGCAACTGTTGTGAAAATATGAGCCATAGCCAACCCAAGACTACTGCAAAAATGTAAAGCACACTTTTAGTTTTAGCCTGTGACCTTAAAACAAAAAGTTGAAAAACAAAACAAAAACAAACAAAAACAACTCTCTGGAACAGTAAGTTCAAGTTTAAAGAGCACTGTTTAGCTAAGGATGCCACTCAGTGGTAGAATGCTTGCCTAGCATAGTTCAATCTTCAGTACTGGTGAGAAAAAAATTTAAACAGCACTGTTAGAAATCCCAAGGCTGTCGAAAATTAACATTTAACAACCCACCAACCAAATAACGTTGATAGGTACAATCTTTTTATAAAACAGAAAATAGTCCACTTTCCTACATGACAAAATCTTGTTCTAAGAGAAGGGAAACAAAAAGCCATATGGCCCAGGAAGGGTTTCAGAATCAAAGGCACAAACCTGGGCCTGAGAAGTCCAGCAAAATCTTTGATTTTTTTTTTTAAAGCCAACACTTTGAGAATCTCGTTTATATGAATACTTAAATTCTTCTGGGGATTTTAAACGATGTAGGATGATTTATTATATCAAAGCGTTAATAACAGACTTACTATAAAGTATATTTTGGTCAAAGGTGTTGCATTAAGCAACACCAACACCAACACCCATTTAAAAAAATAAGATCTTTCATTTTGTTTGGGAAACCAAAATAACAGATGCCTATCAAACTGTTTTACAAGCAACTATACTAGGCAGAAATGAAGAACTATGTAGAAAGAGGAACCATTGTGAAATGTATGTCTAAGTAAGTGTGCTTTGTGCAAGAATAGGGGACTTTTTTGAAACTTTTTGGGTTTTAGCTATATATAATATAAAAATAAGGGTGTTTTCATTCATATAAAGCAACAATAATAAACTACTTCCTGGTTTATGTTGGGGACTTACACCTCACACAATAATATATTCCAAGACGGCCTTAATTTTCAATATTTCTTTCCGGTAAACGGAAGAGGAGGGAGAGCAAAGGTGGGCATGAAACAATCCATTTAGTAACTGGGTAACACCAAGAGGTACCAAAAGCGATTTGTCAGGAAGGGCAGACAAAAGAGAAATAGCTCAGGAACACAAGCTGCAGAAAAGATGAGAATCAGTCTGGTGTGTGAAATTCGACCAAACCCCTTTGGCCGCTGCTGGTGAAAGGAGCTGATTGAAGATCCAGCACCCTCCCGGCTCTTTACCTTCCCGGAAGTCCATCCTGGGATGGGGAGTCAGGGTACAGAGCCAAGGATGAGGCCCTGAGGGTCTAGCTTGGCAGACCACCAACTCCTTCGAGCCTTTCACAGCCAGATCCCAAAGTCCTGCGTCCCGACTTCAGTTCCCTGAGCGGGCGCGAGAAAGGCAGTTGTGGGCCACCCGCCTTCCTGACCCGTTTTCGTCTACTCCTTCGGGACCCTCTGAGGGGCAGCCGGAGAGGACGCAGAGTAGGGAGACCTCAAAACATACCTTTTCCCGCTGGTCCCAGCTGTACAGCTTGGGCTGCTCCTCCACTGCCTCAGCCTTCGACTCCTTCTCACTCTTCCGTCTCTTAGAGAAGCAGCAGCCCATAGCACCGTCCTAAGGGTCTCGCTAGTGGACCCCACGTGCTCGGACAACTCCCAGAGGGTGGCGGAAGCCCAGGACGACAGGGCGACTCGGCCGGCAGCTCCTCGGACACCGCCCAGGAGAGCAGCCCAGTCGCCCACAACCTTCAGCACTCCCGCCAGGCCCAACACCCTTCTCCTTTTTCCACCCCTCGGTCTCCTTGACGACCAACCACAGCCAATAAGCGGTCAGCAGCCACTGAGCCAATCAAAGCCCCGCAAGCCGCTCTACACCTATGAGCTCAGACAGAAGGACTTATTCACCAATCCAAGCCTGGCTCCTACGTCAGCAAACCGGGATGGCCTGGCCGCTGGGGTGCACTCACAAAGGGCCCAGCCTCCAGTCCGGTCCTGCCCCGCCCCCAACCCCTCCTCTCCGGGAACTAGGCTGGGCTAGCTGACTGATGTTAGGCTACGTTGAGTTCCTGTCTCCTAATGTGGTAATCAAGTTTCCAAAGTTTCTAAATTCTAAGCTCTGGAGGGGATGCCATGTGAAATAGTAGACTTATTTTATGACATAAATCGCGCGAGAAAAAGAATTCTTTAAAAAAAACTATTTACTTTTATTTCATTTGCATTTTGCCTGCATATGTATCTGTGTGAGGGTGTCAGATCTTGGAGTTAGAGACAGTTGTTAGTTGCCATGTGGGTGCTGGGAATTTCACCCAGGTCCTCTAGGAAGAGCAGTCAGTGCTCTTAACCACTGAGCCATCTCTCCAGCCCCCAAAAGAATTCTTGTTGCCATGAAAAGACCTAAAATTTGTGTCCTTCACTCTTCCCCTCAGCACCCTTCTTATAGACCCCACAAGCTTCTGGTCAAGTTGTGAATGTCTGGTGTGTCCGTGGAGGTTGAAAGGGTTCAGATCTCCCGGTTACTGATAGTTGTAAGCCACCAAGTGGGTGCTGAAGACCAAATCTCTGCAAGAGAAGCAAATGCTCTTAACCACTGAACTATCTCTCCAACCCCTTGAGTTTTTTAAAAAAATCTTCCACTTTTCTTTCCAAAGTTGAAAAAGTATCTAGTAAAATGACTGAGTACTAGAACTGTGAGTTTGAAAGCAAAAGTATATTATAAAGAGGCCTGTGCCTTTGGCTCACTCAGTCTAAACAATAAAATGTTTAGCAAGTGATTACATGCATCTAACAACACAAACACATATAACCTTTCCTCTATATCTTCCCAACGAAAGTGATCCAATTGTGGAGATAGGGGAGGCATGTGAAGTTATTACAAAGGTATTTTTGGAACTCAAGCAGTGCATAGTCTATTAGAGAATATAAACCCTATCGCATAAACAATCAGATTTGTTCAAAGCAAGTGATACAAAGTTTGCCTGGATTTAAGAATATACACAATTATTAACGTTTGTTGTATTTAGATGGACTTTTAGTACAATACAAATGTACTGCTTTCATAATAGACAAGTTGATTTCTCTGAGGTATAGTATTTTGCCATCATGATAGGACATTGAATGCTTATCAGTTCAGTTTCAAATTTGTTTATCTTTTTACTTTACCACACCTATCACACTTAATGTGAATGTGGATTCTAAATGAGTCTCTGACTTAATTTGGATATTAAGATTGTTCCCCATTGCATTTCCTGTCCTTTTTGCACAATCAGGAAGAAATTATAAATGACTAGAAACTGAAGTTTCAGATCTTCGTCAGTAAAGGCTGGTCATTACACGTTATTTTCTTCAGTGTCAGATTAAAGTTCTATGTGAAGATAGTTTTGGGTTAGAGCCTTGTTGCTGGTTTGTGTTCATAGAATAGCAAAACTTTGATCACTGCATAGTGCAGAATAAAAAGCCAAGATCCAGGAATGAGTCTGTGACCACAATGGCAGTAATTGAGCAGGTACTAGAAAAACCCAGAGCCTGTGTTGTCTGGAGCCTTTTCCTGTCTTTATATTGTTTCTCTCTAACTCGTCAAAGACATAGAAATGCATCCCCCTCAGTCTTCTGGTGCCTAGGGGAGCTCTGACCCTCAGGGATAATGTTCTACATGAAGAGACTACTCAATAAAAATAATTCTAGAGAAATAATTTCTAAAACTCATTGCTTTATAATATGTGCTCATGAGAAATTCAAACCTAAAATGAAACCTAAATCAACCTGTTATTTTTTTTTTAAAGATCCTCAAATAAAAGTGAAGGTTAGGGCTCCTCTCTATTAACTCTGAGTTCACTGTCAGTCTAACCCCAAATTAAATTAAACTAAAATTAAATTGAAATTGTACAAGTTGTAGCTGGGTGTGGTGATATATTTCCAGCATTTGAGAGGTAGAAACAGGAGTAAGTTCAAGACCAGCCTGGGCTACATGAGGCACTGTCTCCTCCTTTCCACATAGCTCTCCACTCACCCAAGAAAACTCAGGACTAAAAAGCTCAAAAACAAAGGTAGGATTAGTGATTACCTCTGCTTTCTCTTATTCTCTCTTCTTTTTTCATCAAAGGTGCTAGAGATTGAGACTAAGGCCTCGCATGTGCCATGCAAAATGCTCTACCACTGAACTCTATCTTCAGCACCTTCCTGTATTATTAGAAAGTGCTTTAAAGTTTGAGTTGGGGTCTGACTACGTTGCCTAATAACCCAGAGAGGCCTTAAACTGAGTCCTCCTGCCTCTGCCTCCCAAGTAGCTGGGATTGCAGGCCTTTGTCACCAGGCACATATCTTTCTTTTATTTTTTTTTCCCTGTCTCTCTTTAACTCTTCCCACCATGAATTCTCATAGTGATTTTATTCAAACTAACTCTGTACTTACTAATCAGCATATGTATAGCTGCCAACTGCCATCCTACTTTGCTTGAGTCCTTCTGGTTCTTCTGTCCCAGTGTATAATGAGCTCCTTATATGTTAATTCAGGCTCTAAAGGGAGTTAGCCAGACAAATTTCTGGCCATTCAATTGTTTATAGATAGAGGTGCACACATGTTCTGATTGCTGCAATGGCAGGAATGTGTTCCATATTATAAAGGTAGGCAGTGAACTAGTCCTGCAAAGGTATGTGCTAGGCACAGACCTAAGTTTATTATACCTTCTGCCTGGACCCTTCCCACTAGTTACACTCCTGTTATTTCTTCCCGAGGAAAGCTTTCCTTTGTATTTGGTTTTATACACATATTCATCTGTATTGCAATTTTGAGTTGTGGCTTTATGGCTAAACTTTATGCCTAAACTTGAGAGATAGTTCTGATTCTCCTATGTCTTGACCACAGAAGTGACACATTTACTTACCAGAAGACAGCTTTGAAGCCATATATTTTTACAGTATGAGTAAGTCAATAATTCTAGCAATGTTAGCTAGAAAATTCCCCATGTTGTCCAGACATGTCCTTATTCACTCTGCACCCACCTGAGGTGACACACTTCACAACAAGAGAAAGAGGAAGGAAGAGGAGGAGCATTTCAATTTTCTATTGATAACTTAATGGCTTAAAAATTGCTAGTTTTACTCCCGAGTCTGCATTTTAGGGAAGAATTGACAGCAACAACTTTGATCCATCGTACATCTATAGCCTAAGCTAGGTTAGCTCTAATAGTCAGAAGGCTAGTCAGGAATCACACTATATGAAATCTCAGGGGCTCTCTCTACCATCTCTCCAGCATAGTTGAATTCTGTTTGCTGTGCTTTGGCTCCAAAAGTGAGTGATCAAGAGACCAAGACAAATGCTATAAGGGCATGTATGGCATCATCTCAGAAGCTGCACATCACTTCCACTGCATTCAATTGGCCACTGCATTCAATCGGCCACCTGAGGCCCACTGTGACTCATGAAGACTAGACAAAAACATACTGTAAAGTATAGCTCTTTTAACTTGGCTACTGCAGTGAGAGTCAGTTCTGCTAATATTTAAGTATTGAAGAAGAGAATTAGAAGGTTTCAGAAAAAAGCATGAAACATGCAGGTGACTTTTGGAGCCAACATTTCTTCTCAGATTTTAACTCTCAAATAGTTCTTTCGGATCTTCTTCCTTATTGACAAGTTTCAGCTATTTTTAAAAGCACTAAAAATTGTGTGCTGAGGCTAGAAAGATAGCTCAATAGGTAAAGAGGGGGTAGAGGGAGGGAGGGAGGGAGAGAGGGAGAGAGAGAGAGAAAGAAAGAGAGAGAGGGAGAGAGAATGATTCGTGTTCTGTGGTCTGGGATGCTGCTGGTGCCCATGTCTGGTTTCAGGCTCTGAGGCAGCCATGGTTTCTGTGGCTGTCCGTGGCTCCTGATATCACCAAAGGTAGAGAGGATAGGACTGTACAGTTTGCCCCACCCCTTACTGATTACAACTCTTTTCTTTCTTTTTTTCTCTTGAATTTTATTTTATTGAGGGGGTTTGCAAGGGTAGAGGGTGGATATGAAGGGATGAGAATATGAATGGTATGCATGATGTATTATATGAAAGATACAAAGAATAAAAAGATAGTTAAAATTCTTAATTATTGTATTTATTATTAGTATTATTAATAGTAGCTTGGGGGAGGGAAAGCATATGTGTGCCATGGCACATGTATGGAATTAAGAGGACAACTTTCAGGAGTCAGTTCTCTTTCTCCTCAAACAGGTGGGCCCCAGGAATTAAACTGAGGTCATCAGGGTTGTATGGCAAGTGCTCTTACCTGTTGAGCCATCTCACCTGCACCCAAACTATATTTTCCAACTGTTTTTACTTAGGATGGATCATCTACTGTTGTTAGTGGAAGTCATTATTTAGACCAAGTGAAAAATTCTTTTCTATCAATGATCTGATTATCCAACCAGATTTTTCACTATGTGAATATAGCCTGTATTTAACTGTTCTATTGCTGTGAAGAGATGCCACAATCAAGGCAATTTATAAAAGAAAGCATTTAATTAGAGGCTTGCTTACAGTTTCAGAGGCTTAGTCCATGATTGTTATGGTGGGGAGTGTGGTGGTAGCAGGCAGGCATGGTTGTGGAGCAGTAGCTGAAAGCTTACATCTTGATCCCAAGCAGCAGGCAGAGAAGGGGTGGGAGAGGTGAAGGGAAGGGAGAGGGAAGAAGAGAAACTGGACCTGGCATGGGCTTTTGAAAGTTCAAAATCTAACACCAGTGACACACTTCCTCCAACAAGGCCACATACTTCCTAACCCTTCCTAAACAGTCCTAGTGGACTGGGAATCAAACATTCAAATAC